GTCAGCTAATGTTTCGGTAATTTGCATCACTGCTCATTCTCTTACATACTTTTTTACTGTACTTTTCCCCCCCTTCTTTTTTAGAAGAATAGCTGTAAAAATTTGTAAGAATTTAAACATTGAAGTCGGCTTTGACTGATTCAATGTTATGGAAATTATGGTTGACCTTTGACACTTCTTCCTAATTGTGTAAATTAAAGCGAAAATAATTATGAATTTACATGAGCTTGAAGGAAAAGAAGAAAATCTTTTATAGAAAATAATTAAAAAAATAATATTGGTAGACTTTCTTGCATTATTTTCCCCTTTATTACTTTCTTCCCCCTGTTACTTTTCCCTTTATCTACTGAAATTTAACGGATTTTTTTTCGATATAAATATGAATTAAAATTAATTCTTTACGTAGTAATGTAATTAAATATCATTTAATTGTCTTTTTTATCATAACTAAATTAAATTATAAATTTAGTTTTAAATTTCTCACGTATTTAATACTGAAATTAAATAAAATAAATTAAGTTTTAAATTGATTGATGATATGTAAAAATTTTAAATCAAATTATAATTATTATTGATTAAGAATCACTTAAAATTTCTTAAATTATTCTTTAAAGATGTTTACGAATCTTATGTCCTAAGTGAGCTCAAAGTTTGTTGGAAGATTATAAAATTATTTTTTGAAGTGTTTTCTGAAATTTATAGAATATTTATTTTTAAAAACTTCTTAAATATTCTCAAAAATTTATTTTGAAAGTATCAAACTTTCCAGAGAATCCTCCGAGACCTGCCAAAAAATCTTCCAAAACTTACTTTAAAATTCTCCAAAACCGACCAGAAAATCCTCCCGATTTGACAGAAAAACCTCCTAGACCTGCCAGAAGATCCTCCAAACTTACCAGAAATCCTTTCAAAACTTGCCAGAAAATCCTCCACACCGGCAGAGAATCCTCCAAAACTTGCCAGAAAACTCTCCAAGACTTGACAGAAAATTCTCCAAACCTACCAGAGGATCCTCAAAAAACTTGCCAGAAAATTTTCCGAGAGTTGACAGAAAATCCTCCAGACCTTGCAGGAAATCCTCCAACAGAGAATCCTCCAGAACTTGTTATAAAATCTTAAAAAAATCCTTCGAAACCTGCCATAGAATCCTCTAAATTTATAAACTCATCATCAACTACTGAACTAACCAGAGAATCCTCAAATAGGCTATACCAGAAAAAATCTTCAAACGTTTTAAGCTAAAAATGATCAAAAGATTTGTCTAAAAATCTTTAACAAATTTTGAATGAAACAAACCTTTGAGATTCACGAACTGTTAATAAAAAAAATCCTCAAAATTGCGTGTAAAAAAATGTTCAAAACATACGAGTTCATCACCGAGGAAGCATTAGAAAAATCCTCAAAATAAACGATCAGGTCATCACAAAACGTGCAAGATCACCCGCAAATGCAAAGGGATTTTCATAAAATGGTATTTAAGTTAAAAGAATACACTAATAACACATTAAAATTAATACAATTAAAGCTTTAAAGAAGAAGAAGAACATTATAAATGATGGAATTTTACAAGAAAACAACAAATGGATTTAAACTTAATTCACTTTGAAACGTTTAAAAAACATTAGAAAAATCCGAGGAGTGACGACGACGATCCACACAATTCAATCTCTTGAAACATTAAAAGGAAACGTGAAAACATTACGTTTTTTAATTAATCTGAGAAGCGAGGGAGGGAGAAGAAAAGAAAATTAATTTAAACCACTTTACGAGTTGAATTATAGATAAGTTTATATTGGTAGAATTATTTACAAGAGTCCAAATTGCTGCACAAAATGTCGACCGGTTACCATAGTGACCCATCCGAGCTTCAGGCAATGCAGCTTTCAAGAGGCAGATGGGGAACCATAAAACCCAACCCTACCTGTGTTTCACCACCAATTTCCATTGATCTTGCTCCAGGCTAGGAAGTTATAAACATTTCCTTCGACATGAATGTATTCATATCAATTTTGTCGTTACATACAAAGAGAAAATTTCAAAAGTTTATTGCTTTGCCTAATCACTTTTGTATCTCGATCGTAAAAAAAAAAAAAAGATGGAGAAGAGAACTATCAGAGAACATTGCACTGTCAAAACTGCTCTCCTTCTCCTATTATTTATTTATTTATTTATTATTTTTCTAAAGTACTTAATTGGTTAAGAGTGAAATCTCGTTCGAATGATGCGAGAAAATAAGCTAAACTTCTTCTTCTTCTTCTTCTTCTTTCTACTTTACTTGACGCCATTATTTCTCGAGTTTTATAAACTAATTTCTAAATAATTAATAATTAAAAACTCTTATAAATTTGTTTCCTGATTCATTTTATGATGTTTAAGATGATAAGCAATGCTACAATTCACTTTAATTATATTTTAAGAGAATTTTCATCCGCTTATCTCCAAATATGTCTTGTAAATTTATTGTAACAATTTGTCAGAAAATTATCAAAAATTTTCCTGGAAAAATTCTTAAGGATTCGAAATTTGTTAGGCCATTCTCCAAAGATTTATTTAACTATTCTTAAAATCTGTCAGAGAATCCTCTGAGGATAAACTGAGGATAAATTTCGAAATTTACTTGAGAATTTTCTAAATTTATCACACAATCCTCAAAAGATTTAGTCGAAAGTATCATACAAATTTTGGTGAATCCTCGAGAATCGTTTAAAATTCGTCAGAAAACAATCCTCAAAACATGTAAGAGATGATCCAGAATCCTTAATATTTTGTTAATCTTCAAAATTCCCTAAACTATCCTCGAAAGATTTCTTTGACAATCCTTAAACTTTGTCAGAAAATTCTGTAAAGATTTACTTAAAGATCCTTAAAATTTGCCAGAAATCCTCGAAAGATTTATTTGAAGATCCTTAAACTTGTCTAATCCTGAAAATCTTCCAGAGAATATCTAAAACATGTGTTAAAAATCTTCAAATTTTACAGGATTACCCTCGAAATTTACCAAAACATCTTCGAACAGATATCAACGCGATTTAATCTCAAAATTTTTAATTGTAATCGAATTTAAACATGATAAAAAATGAAACCAAGTACTTAAAAAAAAGGTAATCTTATTAATTTCTTTAACGATTATTTAGTGTAAATGAGTAAAAAGTAATTAGTTATGTTGGAAACGAAATTATATAATTGTAATTATGCGGTTAAGTTACCCTCTTTAATTATATCCAACGACTTTGATCTTTTTGCTCATTTCGTCACCATACTTATTTGGTTGTCATCAAAACGCATTAATCTCGAGAGTTGGCTTGTGCAAATGCATCTAGTTGCTGACACTACATCTATATATCATGAAGTAATCATGCCCATGAGATTGTCACCAAGTGTTGGATTACCTCCTGCCGAATAAACTCCATAGCTTCTTATTACAATAATTGTAACTGAGTTTTGATCAAATAAATTCTCCATTGGGCTATTACCTACTAAAAATTCGACCTTACTTTTTACTCTCATTAATTAAATGTTGATTGTAATTCATTAGAATCTTTGATATTTTGAGAAGTTTCGACAAAAAGTTTCATTTGTCAGGTTTGTCGGTGTGAAAATCTCTTTAATATTAAAAAAAAAATTTGGGTGTTTTTAGGTAAAATGTGCAGTCTAGTTGATTTTACTTTGTTTCTTAACGTATTTATTCTCCATTAATTTTAATTAAAGTTTGGTGTTAAGAAACTTTAATGGTAAACAGGTTTGATACCAAGAAACGTTAATGGTAAACAGGAGGTTTGGTATTTAAAAATGTTAATGGTAAACAGGAGGTTTGGTATTTAAAAATGTTAATGGTAAGCAGGAGGTTTGGTACTAAGAAACTTTAATGGTAAACAGGTTTGATACCAAGAAACGTTAATGGTAAACAGGAGGTTTGGTATTTAAAAATGTTAATGGTAAACAGGAGGTTTGGTATTTAAAAATGTTAATGGTAAGCAGGAGGTTTGGTACTAAGAAACTTTAATGGTAAACAGGTTTGATACCAAGAAACGTTAATGGTAAACAGGAGGTTTGGTATTTAAAAACATTAATGGTAAACAGGAGGTTTGTACTAAGAAACGTTAGTGGTGAATAGAAGGGTTTGGTGTTAATAAACATACATATGCTACTAAAACAGCTAATTTTGCAACATTTTTGTTTATTTTATACACGAATTTTTATTTTATACATATATATTTTTGTATAATTAAGTACTTATCTTCTCTGAAAAACTAAAAAAAGAAAGAAAAAAAAATACAGTTTTCGTTTTAAAAGCACCCCAAAAAATATATTTTTCTTCGAGTAAAATGTGGAAAACTGTTTATAAAACTAAAAAATTAATTCAAAAATTTTAATTTATTTAAGAAAAATGAAATATAAAATCTCATTAATTTTTTATCCGCTTTGTTTCTTACAATACTCGACGTCGAGTATATTTAAAAAGTGCACTTATGCCACAATAATAATATATTAAAAAAAAAGAAATAAAAACCTTTTTTTTTTTAAAAATAGTTGTAACTTTTCATTATTTTATACACAAATATTCGAATTAAATATTCGTTGTATTATTTAGTACTTACCCTCATTAAAAAATTAAAAAAAAAAATTCATGTCTTTGCCTGGAAAGTGCTCGAATTATAATGCGTGTCTTATCCCTCTTGTAGAGTTCCTTAGAGGAAACGTTTACTTAAAAATTTTCCTTACTAATTAATTGCAGACTTAATTTTAGATGCTACATACAATAAATAAAAGAAGAAAAAAAAAAAAGGTTTTAAGTAGAAGACATGGCCCCTTTCGATGATCATGCGGATACACGAGTATACTATGCTATCATTAACAAGTCGGTTGTGACATGCAAAATACTCATTAGTGTTGAATAGTAAGTTACTTTGATGTAAAGAGGCCTTGAACACGTAAAAAAAAAACACTACTTTTTTTTAAATACAATTCGTAAAAGAAGAAGAAGAAAACATAGAAGCACATTCTTACAAATTTTCGTTTATTGGATATTCAAAGATCTCTGATAAAAAGGGCCTCACATCATCAATTTATCTTTACATTATGAGGCCTTCTATCGGAACCGGATGAACTAACATATAGGAGCAAACAGTTTTTACAATCACGAAACGTCACATTATTTTATTTATTTATTTATTTATTTTTTGTTCCATGGAATGATGTTTTTTCATATCGATGTTGTTGATAAAATCGACAAAATACGTCCACTTTCACACAATACAAATAGAGATATGATAGTTTTCCCCCAATCCAGGGCTATTAACTTGGAAGTATTGCCAAAATTTCTCGATTTGGAGATAAGTTAAATCCACAGGCGTAAGTACACGATGTCGATATTTGACGGATCTTCATCTGTTTATTATTATTTCTTAAATTTATACAAAGGGAAGGATGGAAGAAATCTGTACAAACTGATTTTATACACCTCGAACTCAACCGCATCTTTTAATAAATAGGAGCGTTTTTTTCAAAAAACACACGTGTTTGTATGTTCAAAATTAGCGGTTTAGTTTCCCCTAATTAAACAAAGTCCACATTTTTTTTTTTTTTCGCACATGCAGGGTGGTGATATGGCTTGGTACCAACGATGCATAGCACCATGTTCAGCACCTGTTAAAAGGCTTTGGATTTCTGCATGGTTCTTCACAGATATAGAAATGCCTCAGCACTTAAAACTTATCACTAACATTGGCAACAGAAATATTCAACTTGTTGCAACTTTACATAAGCCCTCGGGCTACTTTACACAACTGTATTACTCAACAAATGGCGGGGATATTGCATTTCCCACAAATAAGAGGTCATCACTAAATGTTCACATATTCGGAGCAGAAGCGAATGATATGAACTGAATCGGTGCAAACCCTTTTATTTTTTATTTATTTTTTTCTTTTTGCAGATGGGATATGTTGCGTCCAGATGGGACAGGGTTCGCACACGATAATCACAGCAAGGAAAAGGTTTATTTATTTATTTATTTTTTTTACTGAGCAACGTTCGTACCTGCAGAAAGGAAGATAACGCACCAACGTAAAATCCAGCAAAGGATTTTTTATTTATTTATTTATTTAATTTGTTCTATTCTTGTTCACAAGCTATTCTGCTGGAAGCCCTCACTGAAAATCAAACCAGAAATCCTTCCGCCATGTTTGCATTCATTTGCACTCTTATTGTTTGCACACTGTTCATGATCTTCTTCTGATGCCCTACTAGAGTAACACCTAGCGATGTCAAATCGTTTAAAGTTAATCTTGCTACCGATTCCATTGTTGCAATGCCTGCCTGTTGAAAATTCGGGAGGTAACGCCGCATTTTAATGCTATCCAACCATTCTTCCACCGATTTCAATTGAGTCATATCAGGTGCGCTCGGATCCAAAGGGTTTTGATGCCTGCAACATGCAAAATTATTATAATTTATCACTTATAAAGCCTTATTTAACTTTTAAAAAAAAAGAAACATCCATTAATTTACCTGTTTTGTGCAATTTTCCGCAGACTTTCTGGACATTGCATTAATTTATCCAACGTTTTAACGATGGTTGCAAATGCGGGTCTGTGTGATCGATCTTTCTGCCAGCAGTCGAGCATTAATTGATGTAATGCCTCGGGGCAATCCTGCATACAAATTCAAGTTATAAACTTTTTACATAATTATTTTAGCTAGAGCTGAGTGCTTACTCACCATAGGAGCAGGTAGCCTGTAACCCTTCTCGATGCACTTGATGACATCCTGGTTGGACCAATTCCAATATGGACGTTCGCCATAAGACATAACCTCCCAACTAACGATACCGTAACTCCAAACGTCACTAGCTGAAGTGAATTTCCTAAATGCTATAGCTTCTGGTGCAGTCCACCTTACAGGTATCTTCCCTCCCTGAAGGAACAAATAGATATAAATCAAATACACGTCAAGTAATACAATACAATAATAAATAGCTACTGTATATACCTGAGTAGTGTAGGCACCCTCAGTTGCACTCTCGATCTCTCTAGAAAGGCCAAAATCGGCAATTTTGCAGACCAGATTAATGTTGACTAGAACGTTCCGTGCAGCGAGATCCTAGAAATGGGAGATTCCACTATCGAAAAAATTCTATTTTAAATAAAAATTTCAAGGTAAAAGAATGTTGCATACCCTGTGGACATAATTCATTTCGGACAGATATTGCATACCGGCGGCTATTCCTCTTAACATACCCACCAACTGTAGTACTTGGAATTTTCCATCGTTGGCCTAGCATAGAATAACGTCAAAAAAATTACAAAAAATATTTTAAATATTTACTATTTTTGTTATTATTTTATATTGTTCTAGATTAGTGATTCTTATCAAGAAAAATCCCTCAATTTTCTATCATTTCTCCGCTCCCTGATCTTGCCGTAAAGATTGAAAGAGGTTGAAATGAAACATACCGTAAATGTATTTGTTTCTTTAACGAAAATAAGTTTTAAATCATTAAAATATGTAAAAGTTTTAACATCTCTTATCTAAAATAATAATATCAACAAATTTTTTAATTATTACCTACTTTAACAGTAATAAAAATAAAAAACTATCATCTCAAACTTCTCAACAAGTAGACCGCGATCTACACTATTCACTAAAACGTTACTCTAAGGCCATTAGCTCGATAGTTTCCTTTGTATTTTCCACTCGCTTACATTATAAATTGGCAAAACAAGCATAAATATGCATCATAGTATGGCAAACGAAGCGGTAAATAGTTTAAATATGGTAATTCTATTAGTATTTTACTCGTAAAATTGTTTGATAATAGAAACGAGTGCTTAAACATGTAATAACTTGATGAGCTGTAATAATGAGCTGTTCACCAGTTGATCAGCAAACTAGCTGGTTTGAAACGTTGGCTTGCACGCAACTTTGCAAGGAAATGACTTTGACCATCGATCTTTCTGAGTCACAAGGGATGTAATCATGTGACTTTTGATAGACTCAGCCGGAAACAACGGGGTGTGGTCGCAATATAGAAATCGACTTAGTGTGACAATTTTTAGAGCATTTCCACGAAAACTAATATTAAATTCGTAGTGTTTTTTAGGCATTCCACACGTGTCTAAGTGTTTTTTAAAACTAGACCTCACCCTTAGAAACGTATCCAAGGATCCATTCTCCATATATTCGGTTACGATCATAACCGGGTTACACTTAGTCACCACACCTTGTAAGTAGATAACATTAGGATGATCAAACTGTCCCATAATACTGGCTTCTGTCAAAAAATCCATCCTGGCCTTATCGGAGGAACCGGGTTTAAGTGTTTTGATTGCTACAGTCATTTCTGGTCTGGCAGGCATTTTCAGTTTGCCACGACACACGTCACCGAATTCACCTGAAAGATAGATATTAACGCTTATCTGGGGGTAAAAAAAAAAAAAAATAGGTAGTGACGATAATAGAAAAGTACTTACCACCCCCGATAATAGCTTCGATAGTGATGTGAAGCGCATCAATCTCTTTAGTAAACTCGCGTACGGCTTGGTTGGGGTCTTCGTAGGTGTGAGGATCTATGTAAGTTTTCGACCCCCCGGACGGTGTGAAGAGCGGTGTGGTTACTGCAAACAACACAATAGCGAAATTTTATAGGGTGGTGTTAACTTATTAATTCTCTCGTCGTTACGTTTGTTAGTGTGTTAGCTACTTACAACGAACAGTCGAAACAATAGGAAGATGATCTAGCGGAGGGACAACTAGTAGCGTAAAGAAATTGTTAACGTGTATTAATAGAAGAGAAGATAATATTCTAGTAAAGTAAAGTTTAGAAATTTCTCTTCTAGATTAAACAATACTTGCAAAAATCAATACCTTCTCCATTTCTATACTCTAAAGTGTCGCAGTCACTGGGTTGCTTTTTGTTACATTCGTCCGTGCTTCTACAATTACAAAGGGGGGGGGGGAATTAGTTGCTGCTCTTTATAAGAATTCTACCAAGCTACGTAGCAATATCCTCACCTTCTAACATACAAGAATATCATAACGATGATGACTATGATAAGTACAATTAAGGCTACAGTCGCACCGGCTATGATTCGAACTTGAATCTGATCGTCTTCGATATAAGCTAAGGTAATTAGAATTAAATATATATATATATTTTTTTTTTTAAATAAACGTAATATCTGTCATTTGAAATGTAATTTATGCATTAACATACCCGTACTTCCCATTAATTGGCCGGTAGTTTTAAAAATAGCTTTACTATAATCACCCCAACCGTGTGTAGTTTTGGCTCGAACCTGTAACATAGTTTCACTTAAATAAAATTTAAAATGAAATAAATTTAAGTAACATGATTAAATTACCAACCTGAAAACCATATTCTGTAATCTCCATTAAATTCCTGAAAACGATATTTTCCTTTTTTGTAAGGATACTTGTTGTATTTTTCTCGTTTTTCCCTATAAAGTATCGGACTTCGTACATCTCCAATTGAGAATAGGGATCTTCCGGTGGTTCCCACGTCAACATAATTTCTGTACTTTTCATTAACGTAACACGAATATTGCTGACCATTGAAGGCACTGTAATAAAGCGAACCGTGTTGATTTTAAGGATCAATTGCTCCGTCTCTATAAGTCATGCCCTCCCTACGACACGGCTAAATAAACTAAGTTCAAACGTATTTAAGTTAATTAAAGATAATTCGATGTATTTGCTTTGTAAAGTTCATGAATTAGATGACTGAATAATGTAATTAGAAAGCGCAATTAATTAATCTTAACGCCTAAACAATCTGCGGCTTAGGGCCTATCGTTAGGGAGTCTGTAGCTTAGGCCCTTACATTTTTACACGTATCATTATTTTGCTAGAGGAGAGAGAGGCCTGTTACACGTTACCATGCCTACTTTGGTACACGAGAAGGGCCTGTTATATATTACTGGGCCTAATTTGTTAGAAGAGAACGATAACAAGTCTAAATTCAACCCTGGGCTAATCAAACAGTTACTAACAAATTTAAAATAGCTCACCCCCAAAAATAAGATTATAATCTTTATATACTCACCAGATGCTTCAGTAGTTACAGTTAAATCTACATACTGGCTGCCACCCAAAGACGAAACACCATTTTCTGCATAGACTTGAAATCTATATGAAGTAACGGGGTTCAGGCCAGAGATGGTGACCTTAGTCTCGTTGAAACCTCTATCCGCCGGTGTATACAACACAGAAGAACCGCAACCATCGCAGGCAATTCTATATTCTAAATCCAACCTTCCACCTAAATACGAAGGACTTTGCCATCCTAAAACAACAGTCGACTGATCCACAAAACTTACAGATAAATTTTGGGGTGCTGAAGGAGGTTCTATATAAAAAAATATATATATTTATATACTTTTTCTCAACGTTCAGCAGAATCTGTAAAAAGAATTCGAGTTTATGGTTGGGAAGAAAAAAAAAAGCACTTACGAGTACATGGCATAGCTTTTGGATCCTTAGAAGCTCTATAGTAACCGTCGTCACATCTACATTCCAAAGAGCCTTTGTAAGGTGCTGTGCTATATTGAGGACAAGGAGAACACTTAACGTCTCCAACTGAAGATTTGAAAGTGGTAACAGGACACACTAAAATAACGAAATAAACAAAAATTAAGTAAAGAAAAATGATTTCCTTCCATTACTTTAAGATATATTAACATAAAAACATTATTTATTCAACAAAAGAACATATAAATCACTTCAAATTTTACCAATTCCATTCCTCTGTATCATATATTGGATATGATAAAATATTCACGAAAGAAATTTCAAATGCAATTTTGTGGATCCATTTTTTCAAATTTTACAATATACAAAATGTAAATCTATTTTTCAACTGTACAATGATGAACTGGATATGGTTACTCTCCACGTATTTCCATTGTTCTTCCTAAAATTCTATTTATAATTAACTCGGATGCAAATTTACCATTAAAGAAATACGAAAATTTATATATTTAGATTGTTAAATATCTAAATTTTTTGGCCATTAAATGGCCCGCTATTTCTGAATTTTCTAGAGTAAAAAAAAAATATATATATATATATATATATCTTACAGCCATTTACACTATCTCTATGGTTTACATCCTTTAAGAGATGCATCAAGGAGGGTAAAGATGGGCATTTCTTCAGTAAAGAAATTGAGGTTACTTCCATTATTCAATATTCCATAAAAATATATGTTGATACCTTAAAAATTCATTCCATATTTTAGGGAATATTTTAAGTAAATGTTCGAATAGATAAAATATTTCCAAGTAACTTCCGATTCATCATCATTAACGTGTGATACAACGAAGAATTTAACCGCATATTCTTAGCATTTAACGTTTCTTTCGTTATTATTTTAAAAAACAATTTAAATCTTAAGTTATTTTAAATTAAATTAATTAATATTCATAGATTTTAGGAAATAAAAATAAATAAATTACATCAATATAAGTTATAAGTATGAAAAATCCAGAGAAGTAGGTTATAAAGATAATACATAATTGTGTTATAAATAGAGAAATTTACGAAGGGAGTTCTACAAACAGGGTAATTTAACATTACCACTTGTAAAATTTCCCTATCTAAAATCCCTTTTTTAAAAATCTTCTCTAGTAAATTTCCCTGTAACACTTCTTGCTTTTAACATACATTATCCCTATTTTAACTTAGGGAAAAGGGAATGATTTATAAAAGGGAATTTCACAGAAAAGAATATATAGTATTTCACATTCGTTATTTGTAAATTTTTCCTAAAATCCTCTTTTAAATTTAATATATTTACAAATTCTCCTTTAATAAATTTCCCTATTTGTTACACTTGAATTTTCCCTGCGTCTAACAACACCCTTTGTATATTATCCCTACTTTATCCGTAGAAATAGGAAAGGGAATTTACAAACAAGACAATTTACAAAGGAAAAATTTAAGAAATGGTTTCTACAAATAAGAAAATTTAAAAAAAGGAAGTTTTACATTTCCATTTGTAAATTTTTCCTGCCTAAAATCCCTTTTTAAATTTCTCTATTTGTAACACTTCTTGCGAATTTCCCTGCTTCTAACACTATACACATTAGTCCTATTTTAATCTAGGAAGATATTTACAAAAGGTAGGGAAAGATTTTTACAGAACAATACACTTTTATTTTACAAAATTTCCAACATTTACAAACAAGGAGCCATTTTTTTTTTTAATTGTAAGACAAGAGATAAACAAACAAAGCTAAATTTAATCCAAAAAATCGAAAGGTATTTTGTCTTTTTTTTTTTGTTTAGAAAAATAATGGAAAGATAAATAAGAGAGTGTTTATTTGAGATTTAAAACGTTACATTCGACTTATTTATTTTTAATGGATCCTTAAAGTAGAATAAACGAGAGATTAGACACAGATCCTTCTACCTAGGAAGCAAATAAACAAAATGGTATCCCTGTCTCCCCTCTTACAATAAAATTACCCATAAAAACTTGAATTAGACGGTTATAAAACATAGTAAAATCTTTTATATAAAGTAGACCCGATCCTAATTTTTTGGGGGGATTAAAAAAAAAAGGAAGATGATGCGTGAATGAGGCCATAAGAATATCGACCATTAGCATGTAACACTTTTGCAACAATGCTACACACATGCAAATTTACATGCAAATTGCATCAGAGAACGAAATATTGTTGTTACTATTCGGCGAATAAAATCGGAATAATATTAATGGAAATTTTGCTATCTTTGCAGAGGCGGAGCGAGAGGATAGGGAGGGAGGAAGAGCGAGAGAGAAGGAGAGGGGGGAAAGAGAAAATGTGCTGACGTCAACTCAAACTGACCGATTAGTTCGTTCGGTCGAAGTTAATACCTGTTCTTACGGGTTGGAGTAATTAATCTGCTCATCCTCTTCATCATATATACTTCCTATGAGTATGGAAATATGGTAATGACCTTTCACGTTCGTGACCCCGAATGCAAAAGGTCATAACGACTCAATTTTTCTGCGCGTATACCTTTCTAGTCTATACCTTTCTAGTAACCTCTCACCTTCCTATGCTGAATGGCCTTTCACATATATTGATAAATAAGTAAATATAATGTGAAATTTAAGAAATTCGTGTAGAATTCTTATTTCTCTTTCTTATTACAGCTTTTATACGGCTTAAATCACGTGTAAAATATTTAAAAAAATATATGCAAGACACGTATTAAATTTGTAAATTATCCATTAGTTTCTTCAGTTTTTCTTTTAAATATAAGAAAGTAAAGAGATAAGAAGAGGAAAGATCCATTTATCAAGCATTAAAAATAGTTTTAATGCTTAAATTCATATTGTTTTAGATTATTTACATTTATAATTAATTAAATTTTACAAATAAACTAAAATTTGACACTTAAAATTAAAGTACAGCATTCAAAATGGCGCCGTTTACAACAAATAAAAATTGAATATTTTTCAAATAAATCTTATTTTTCAATTGAATCCAAAGCTAGAATTTTGGCATTTGTATTAGCAAATATATTAAAATATTTTGAGTACTTCAAATTGTTTACCAATTCCAACAAGAATTTTTCAGTATTTTTTTACTTTTCAACCTCTTCTGTAGCTTAACAAAAAAACGCGTGAAATAAATAGGAACGTGGGTAGCACGCGAGCGACCGGTTGGTAAATGCTGACCTAGACTAATAGTTCTATCGATCGCCTCCCGTCCTGGATTAATTATGATAAAATTAAGCGAAGGAAAAGAAATTCTAAAACAATTCAATCGCGAATTTTTAAAAGATATAAGCCAAAACGCATTTATTGTCGAAATGAGTTCAGGTGCAGTGTTTTCCATGCTCTTCCCCCTTTGCAATTTTCTTTCAACAACATCTGCTAGTTTCAAACATTGAAACTGGAGTGCAAATAACTGAAAGAAACTGTAAATTAAATATTCTAATAATAAAAAAAATATATTATATGGACTTTTATCATATGGTTATTAAAGTAAATTCATTGTATTTTATAATAAAATAATTTTTTGGAAGAAGAAAAATCACTTTCCAACAGAACACACCAGTCTTCGATAGTTAAAGCATCGCCATCTGGAGACGAATAATCGAAGTAATTGTCAAAAAATTCCTCCCCCTTCTCCTACCGATTTTATCCCTATTAAAACGATTTTCTACAATGAATTTTTCGTGTTTATTTCATTATTTATTTTATGTCGTAGGGAAAAATTTAACTTTTTTTTTTTTTATTATTTTTTAAGTTTGTTAGGGGATTATTTTTCTATTTTAATTTACGACAATACAAATTGTATCCATCTCCTCTGACCTGCACAATGACACTGTAGTAGTTTAACACATTTTGCTTCCGGCTATCGATCAGCCCATCCAGTGTTGACCTGAAAGATGCAGGCAGGATGCTGAAAGTGGGAAGGTTTCCCGTCACTTATCTATCGATATAAGCTACAAAATCAGTTCTGTAGTAATGTATCCGAAGGTATTTTTGGAGTGTTTGATGGTTCCTAATTGTACGTACTCGAAAAATTCGCATTACACTTGCTAGAATATTCCTCTCATCTACCTTCTTCTTGCGATGGAGGAGGACATTTTTAATGATAGGGATTTTTCGGGGAGAATGATTAAGAAATAGGGAAAATCGAGCTGGGAATGTTACAATAGGGAAAAAATATAGCAAGGTATATTGTAAATAGGGAAAATGGAAAAGGGAATATTACAATATAGAGAAAAATGGAATAGGGAATATTGCAAAGAGGGAAAAAATGGAGTGAGGATTATCTCAAATAGAGAAAGATAGAGGAGGTAATATTACAAATAGAGAAAAATGGAGAAGGAAATATTACAAATTTTACAAGGAGGAGCGTTAGAAATAAGAAAATCACAAATGGAGAGAATTTTGAAAATAGAAAAATTTATAGGGAATTTACAAGGAGCGATTTTATAATGTAAAAGGTAGAAGTAAGTAGGGGAAATTTATAAGGAAGGGAATATATAAATAGGGAAACTTTATAAGATAAAATGTAGGAAAAATTCATATGGAGAATTACAAATGAAAGAGATTGAATGAAAATATTTAAAAATAGGGAGAATCGAAGAATAGGGAAATTTAAAAAATGGCTAAGAAAAATTGAAGAGCGGGGATTTTTCTTCGGAAAAGAAAAATGCAAATTTTTCATAATAAAAGAAGAATTATGGAAGAGGAAAGCAGCTCCTGTGATGCATTAACAGTCAGGGAATAAAAGGGCAAGAGAAATGCTAAAATTACATTCACGTCTAACGAGGAAATCATTGTTGAAGTTTCCAATTTGTAAACGAAATCATAAGTTTGTCGCATGCAGCAAATTCTTAACAATCTCGTTAAGCATTTATAAGTTGGGATTTTGTTAAGTTTTGTTAATTTTAAATCATTTAAAAGAATATTGCAAAATGAATCGTGAAATCTCCAAACTAATCAGAGAGAGAATACAAAATTGTAAATTGTAACACAGGAGTTGTAGTTAGTTATTCTAACAACGCATGAATAAATACTAGTGGTTGGTTGTCGATGCATGAACAGCAATTAAATATTATAGAAGGCTAATAAGTCAAACTTCCTCGCCTTTGCTCTGGATTATCACCATCCAAGTATTAGTCTCCCATATACTAACATTGCAAATAATCAACAGGGATGTACTGTACAGCTAAGAAGACGTATACGACAAAGTTAATTGCTCTAAATGTTTGCATGCAACCAACCGCGAGAGATTATTATTGCAATATCCGGATCAGTAGAGTTTACATCGTTAACGGAATGAATCAACTTAAGTGGATTTGGGTCCATCTACAACGTGATTCACTCGCGTGTAATACTTTAGGTAAGTTTTTTTTTTCAATAAAACTTTTTCTTACCTTGGCAGATGTGTCCGATAGATTCGTATCCTGCCATACAACTACATCCACCGGAAGGTAAAGTCCAATTTCCGTCTCCTTTGCACAATAACCTCGGAGGATCCACCACCACTGCATTGGCTACACACTGACCTTCCGCTGCCACAATAGCAGTCACTTCTTTGCCGGTCGGAGTTTCGAGGAAATAAGCAAAACTGGTCGAAATCTCTGGACAACTGACATAGTACACCTTGATGGCAATGAGAGACAGACAGGCACCTTGGTCTCTGAATGCAAAATACACCCCTTTCTTGGTAACTGGCACGCTTCTTATTTCGGTGTTGATGATGACTTCCGCGTTGGAAGTGAATCTTCCTTCGTCTGCGGCGATCCTGCCGATCAGTTTGTAAGATTCTGGCTCCCAGGGGGGTGGCTCCTTGGTGGCAGCGTCGAACTCGTAATATAGTAGAGTGAACGTCTCTTTGCAGGACAGTGCCATGCCGGGGAACAGGTTGCAATCCCTCATACTAAACTTGACTTCGATGTACATGCGATTGGCCACTCCTCTTTCGATGAATGGGGTCCACAACCAATTGTTGACATCGTTGTATGCCACGTCGCACACCACGTACGACCGCCAGTTGATACCCAACTCGAAATTCGTGAAGCTCTCTTCCACCCACTGTAAAACAATACAACTTAGATCATCTAACAATATTTATTTCATATCGTTTCTATAAATAACGGATAAAAAAAAAGAGAGAAAGGAAACGGAAGAAAGAAAAAAAGAGCGTAACAACTGAACANAAACTGTAAATTAAATATTCTAATAATAAAAAAAAATATTATATGGACTTTTATCATATGGTTATTAAAGTAAACTCATTGTATTTTATAATAAAATAATTTTTTGGAAGAAGAAAAATCACTTTCCAACAGAACACACCAGTTATATATATCTTACAGCCATTTACACTATCTCTATGGTTTACATCCTTTAAGAGATGCATCAAGGAGGGTAAAGATGGGCATTTCTTCAGTAAAGAAATTGAGGTTACTTCCATTATTCAATATTCCATAAAAATATATGTTGATACCTTAAAAATTCATTCCATATTTTAGGGAATATTTTAAGTAAATGTTCGAATAGATAAAATATTTCCAAGTAACTTCCGATTCATCATCATTAACGTGTGATACAACGAAGAATTTAACCGCATATTCTTAGCATTTAACGTTTCTTTCGTTATTATTTTAAAAAACAATTTAAATCTTAAGTTATTTTAAATTAAATTAATTAATATTCATAGATTTTAGGAAATAAAAATAAATAAATTACATCAATATAAGTTATAAGTATGAAAAATCCAGAGAAGTAGGTTATAAAGATAATACATAATTGTGTTATAAATAGAGAAATTTACGAAGGGAGTTCTACAAACAGGGTAATTTAACATTACCACTTGTAAAATTTCCCTATCTAAAATCCCTTTTTTAAAAATCTTCTCTAGTAAATTTCCCTGTAACACTTCTTGCTTTTAACATACATTATCCCTATTTTAACTTAGGGAAAAGGGAATGATTTATAAAAGGGAATTTCACAGAAAAGAATATATAGTATTTCACATTCGTTATTTGTAAATTTTTCCTAAAATCCTCTTTTAAATTTAATATATTTACAAATTCTCCTTTAATAAATTTCCCTATTTGTTACACTTGAATTTTCCCTGCGTCTAACAACACCCTTTGTATATTATCCCTACTTTATCCGTAGAAATAGGAAAGGGAATTTACAAACAAGACAATTTACAAAGGAAAAATTTAAGAAATGGTTTCTACAAATAAGAAAATTTAAAAAAAGGAAGTTTTACATTTCCATTTGTAAATTTTTCCTGCCTAAAATCCCTTTTTAAATTTCTCTATTTGTAACACTTCTTGCGAATTTCCCTGCTTCTAACACTATACACATTAGTCGTATTTTAATCTAGGAAGATATTTACAAAAGGTAGGGAAAGATTTTTACAGAACAATACACTTTTATTTTACAAAATTTCCAACATTTACAAACAAGGAGCCATTTTTTTTTTTTTTTTTAATTGTAAGACAAGAGATAAACAAACAAAGCTAAATTTAATCCAAAAAATCGAAAGGTATTTTGTCTTTTTTTTTTTGTTTAGAAAAATAATGGAAAGATAAATAAGAGAGTGTTTATTTGAGATTTAAAACGTTACATTCGACTTATTTATTTTTAATGGATCCTTAAAGTAGAATAAACGAGAGATTAGACACAGATCCTTCTACCTAGGAAGCAAATAAACAAAATGGTATCCCTGTCTCCCCTCTTACAATAAAATTACCCATAAAAACTCGAATTAGACGGTTATAAAACATAGTAAAATCTTTTATATAAAGTAGACCCGATCCTAATTTTTTGGGGGGATTAAAAAAAAAAGGAAGATGATGCGTGAATGAGGCCATAAGAATATCGACCATTAGCATGTAACACTTTTGCAACAATGCTACACACATGCAAATTTACATGCAAATTGCATCAGAGAACGAAATATTGTTGTTACTATTCGGCGAATAAAATCGGAATAATATTAATGGAAATTTTGCTATCTTTGCAGAGGCGGAGCGAGAGGATAGGGAGGGAGGAAGAGCGAGAGAGAAGGAGAGGGGGGAAAGAGAAAATGTGCTGACGTCAACTCAAACTGACCGATTAGTTCGTTCGGTCGAAGTTAATACCTGTTCTTACGGGTTGGAGTAATTAATCTGCTCATCCTCTTCATCATATATACTTCCTATGAGTATGGAAATATGGTAATGACCTTTCACGTTCGTGACCCCGAATGCAAAAGGTCATAACGACTCAATTTTTCTGCGCGTATACCTTTCTAGTCTATACCTTTCTAGTAACCTCTCACCTTCCTATGCTGAATGGCCTTTCACATATATTGATAAATAAGTAAATATAATGTGAAATTTAAGAAATTCGTGTAGAATTCTTATTTCTCTTTCTTATTACAGCTTTTATACGGCTTAAATCACGTGTAAAATATTTAAAAAAATATATGCAAGACACGTATTAAATTTGTAAATTATCCATTAGTTTCTTCAGTTTTTCTTTTAAATATAAGAAAGTAAAGAGATAAGAAGAGGAAAGATCCATTTATCAAGCATTAAAAATAGTTTTAATGCTTAAATTCATATTGTTTTAGATTATTTACATTTATAATTAATTAAATTTTACAAATAAACTAAAATTTGACACTTAAAATTAAAGTACAGCATTCAAAATGGCGCCGTTTACAACAAATAAAAATTGAATATTTTTCAAATAAATCTTATTTTTCAATTGAATCCAAAGCTAGAATTTTGGCATTTGTATTAGCAAATATATTAAAATATTTTGAGTACTTCAAATTGTTTACCAATTCCAACAAGAATTTTTCAGTATTTTTTTACTTTTCAACCTCTTCTGTAGCTTAACAAAAAAACGCGTGAAATAAATAGGAACGTGGGTAGCACGCGAGCGACCGGTTGGTAAATGCTGACCTAGACTAATAGTTCTATCGATCGCCTCCCGTCCTGGATTAATTATGATAAAATTAAGCGAAGGAAAAGAAATTCTAAAACAATTCAATCGCGAATTTTTAAAAGATATAAGCCAAAACGCATTTATTGTCGAAATGAGTTCAGGTGCAGTGTTTTCCATGCTCTTCCCCCTTTGCAATTTTCTTTCAACAACATCTGCTAGTTTCAAACATTGAAACTGGAGTGCAAATAACTGAAAGAAACTGTAAATTAAATATTCTAATAATAAAAAAAATATATTATATGGACTTTTATCATATGGTTATTAAAGTAAATTCATTGTATTTTATAATAAAATAATTTTTTGGAAGAAGAAAAATCACTTTCCAACAGAACACACCAGTCTTCGATAGTTAAAGCATCGCCATCTGGAGACGAATAATCGAAGTAATTGTCAAAAAATTCCTCCCCCTTCTCCTACCGATTTTATCCCTATTAAAACGATTTTCTACAATGAATTTTTCGTGTTTATTTCATTATTTATTTTATGTCGTAGGGAAAAATTTAACTTTTTTTTTTTTTTTTATTTTTTAAGTTTGTTAGGGGNCGAGGAGGAAGAGAGGGGGGGGGAGGAAGAAGGAGGAGGAGGAAGACTAGACACAGGGAATACAAACAGCTCTACATTAATATTATTCATTTATCAAATATGTTCTTTTATTTTTAATCGGATTTTATAATAAACTTTCCGCCCATTTATTCCTGTAAAATCGCATTTTTGATTATTAACGAATGCACTTAGTGCACACTAAGTGTCACACAATAAGCTCTCACCTATCGAGAATAATGGTGTAGTGTTTTATAAATCAATCACGTGGCCTTTTTTCCTTTGTTTTTTTTTTTCTTAATGGTTTTTAATTTCTGCTCTTCACCAATCGATTCGTCATTATAATGTTGATCGAATTTATAAGGTAAATTCTCCCCCCCTCTTCGCTTCTTCGCTCCTCCTCGATGATGTGTTACGATTTTTACATTTTAAATAGTTAATAAGAGGAGAGGTGGAGTCATGCAAACGACTTTACGCGCATAATGAACTGCAGCGGATCATTTTTGGTGATGTGGTAGCTTGCATAATGAAGTGGAGCGTATGATTTAACGTCACTATTATGTGGGGGGGGAGGAAATTAAATTTCGCTCTTTTGTTCCTAAATAACTGGCGAAGAATAGAAATTTATTAATAGTTTAACGTGAAAAAAATTTGTTAAAATATTCATAAATGATGAATAGTTTAGCGGGGGGATGAGAAATCAGTAGTATCTGTTGCGTGTAGTTTGACGTAAAGATGACGAAATTATTGGCGTAAATCGGTGCCCGTGTCCATAAACGGCGCGTGAAATGAAAGATTTGATGCTTATATTCGTAAATAATAGGAAAAAAATACAGGATTTTACACGAGAAATATTCGTCGGTAGCGCGAAAAGTGAAAAATTATTAATGGTTTAACACGAGAAAATGGTGAAGACATTCATAAACGAGGTAGAAAATGAAGAATTTAACACGAAATATTGACGAAAATTTTCATTAAGAAGGCAAAAAATACAGACTTTAACATTGAAAATTGATGCAAATATTCACAAAGGAGGAAAAAGACGAAGAATTTAAGACAAAAATAAATCAAAGTGTGTATACAAAAATACCGCAAAAAATAACAAATAATTCAACACGAATACGTCATCATTTTCTTCACCCAACGAGAAGCAAAAAAAAAAAACAGTTAATTCTGTTGTTTTTTCTGGTGTAGAATATATGTCAATTAGTTGTATAGAGTCTTTGATAGTGGCTGAATGTAATAAATAAAGATAACTTCATTAACTTGGTCGTATAGAAGGGTAAGTTGCATCATCATTAAAGGTGTCTTAAGAAAGAAGAAGATACATAAATTAATTAGTCATTAAGGAAATATCTACTTTATTTATTATAATAGTTGGAAAGAAAATGAAATCGATGGACGGCTCGCATTATTAATCTTCAATTAATTTATTTCCTGAATTAATTGATGAAAAAAATTACTTTTTTGTTTTTTTTATAGAAATTTTATCTATAAAAAGCATTGTAAACATCGTTATATACTATCTTAAATGTAATTAAACTTAATTGTAATCGTATT